AAATACTTACAGATCCTCTCAGAGAGCACAGTAACTTGGTGAACAAACTGCCAGACTTATACTTGTGCCCAATTTCACATTACAGTCCATAAACTAAGCCTGGGATCAAAAAATTGTATTGAAGATGTCATTAGCAGAGACAAATGGTTCTACAGAGACTTGGCTAGATGGCTATAAAATAAAATCAATACTTACAAATAAAAAAATGGTTCAAAAATAAAATTAACACATTAAAATAAAAAATATCTGTGAAATACAATCAACACTTCAAAATACAAAATCTCTGGAAAATAAAATATTATGTATGTTGTTTTGAAAAACATTAGAATATAAGCATTTTTATCAAATCTTCATTGTGGTAATATCATGTAAGTTCTTCTTAAATCCATGGAAACTCAACAGTTTGTAAGGTAGGTGAGTTAGCTCAGCAGGTTAGAGCACCGTGCTGGTAATGCTGAGGTCGTCGGTTCAAACCCCATATGGGGCAATTCATGTGTAAGGTCTTTCAGACGATCAACACTTCAAAATAAATAAGGTTTCAAAAATAAAATCAACACTTCAAAATAAATAAGGGTTCAAAAATAAAATCAACACTTTACAATAAATAAGGGTTCAAAAATAAAATCAACACTTCAAAATTAAAAATGGTTCATTTATGTTTTCGCATCCACCTGAATAATACGTAGTTGCGCCCCTGGTTGTGTTAATCCATTTGATGAGCCGGTAGTTTATCTTGAGGAAATAAATGACGACGCAGAAATTAATTAGACTGCAACATGCGGAGTCCGCTGATCAACCACTGCGGACGAGGCTCCGTTGTTGCGAAGAATTAGAAACCGCTGGGAGTAACTCATCCAGCGGATTTAACAAATGGAGCCTTCTTGGTGCACGTTACCCAGGAGAGCGTTGCTCTGGAGGAGCTGCAGACGTAACATCTGTCCGTTTCGGAGAAGCGAAACCACGCAAATAAATAAATAAATGAATAAATAATCCGGACCGCTCAGGGTAAACACTCACAGACAGAGTTCAGTTGATCTGTTTGGATCAACTGAACTCTGCACAAATTCAGACATTTGCACAAAGACATTTAAACGATCACATTTCTGGCTGCAAAGCAACACTGCTAACTGCCTGATCCACAGCGTAGGCCTCTGCTCATCACAAGAGACAAAAACACATGACGTGAAAAACCAAACAAAAGATTAAGTGCCGCAGCTTGATAAATATGTCTGCATGTACATTATTGACTTCAGGGCAAACACCCATACATATAAACACACACGGAGCAGTCTATCACCAGAGCCATCAGCCGCCACCGCAGACGAACTGACGGATCGATGGCGGGACGTTAGTCACCGTTTCACCAGGAAGAAGCCACTACTTCTGCCCTGATAAGAATCGGTTACATCCTTCGAAAATAAATAAATAAACAAATAAATAACATCCAGTGTGGCTCTGATTGGATTAAAGGGAGAAGGGAAGGGCAAGACAAGCCACCATGAGGTATGGCCAAGCAAATTGGAGCCAACAGTTGGGCCAGAGAGTCCATTTTGGGGTATAATTTACACAGTGAGGAGCATGAGCTGAATCTAATGTCATTTCCATCAATTTTGCATTTTGGCCCTTTTTTCCCCTTCCCTAAGGCTTTTAGCGGTCATTTGAATCATCTGGAGGAGGACAGCCGGCAAGCACTACAACGTCGGAGACGACATTTAGCGCAGCGGCAGAGTAAGAGGTGGTTCTTTATTGTGTGGTGACTGGCTGCAGGATTGTACATCCGCCGCTGCACCATCTTGGAAATGGCTAACAATATGCTAATAGGTTAAGAGCACCGAATAGTCCCAGACAAGCCACTTAATGGATGTTTTATCTGCAGGTCAGGAGTCTCATCAGCTGCCATCTCTCCTGACAAGATGTGCCAAGTCAAATTTACCGATAAAGTGCTTTTAACAAACAGGCCACAAACTGCTTGGGGCAGGACAAAGGACACAGACACGGAAATGTTTGTGGTGAAACGTGAAACCTGTTGGCAAACAATGGAAAACCGTTTGAGGGGAGATTCACATTGAAAGCAAAATGATCCGAGGACAAACAGAGATGACAAGGCTTCCTGTCGGAGCTCAAGCTTATTTAACTTCATTTACTAAACTGGTCCCATTTCAAATGGGGACGATTTTTGCCAAATTTAGTTTGACATTGAGACCAAAGCAGAATTTCCTGTAACGTTTGTTATTACAACATGAATTTAGCAAAGTAAAAGTGAGCAGCAATATCCTTGACATGAACATTTAAGCCTTTGCTCATATAAGACTTGGAAGTTTAATAAAATGTTTACAATTTTCTTCCTATCCCCAAATAAAGTAAAATCGACTACAGGTATATCACTGACAGCATCAAGTTTGGGAAATCTGATCTTGTGTCTGTAAAACAAACAAAACGTAGAAAATGTTGCTTACTCATTTTTTAAGCAAGTAAAACTATATAAACATAAAATCTTTCAAAATGGTGGTGCACGCACATATAAACATATAAGGGCTGGGTGATAGGAACTTAATCAAGATATTTTGTTTAACTAAAACTACTTATTGCTTCTTTGCAGTCTTTGTTGGGTAAATGTGTGAGAGTGACTGCAGGGCACAGCAACAATAGCCTGACAAATACATGAAAAACGTAGACCTACCATTTAAAATATGGCTCTTCAGTTTGTCTGTTACATAAAAAGTGTAATATATATATATATATATATATATCACTAAACCACACACAGTCACTGCAATTAATTATATTTTAATATTTATTAATGCTCTCATAAAACCAGAAGAGAAAATAATACAAATAAGAAATCTGATAGTAGCTTAAACATACAGACAAAAGTGTCTTCATCTTAAATGCAAAATGTATGTATATTTTGTAAAGTTTGCTCTGAATTTGTTGTTTTTCAGTCTGTATAATTGATTACTAAATTAGTTGACAATCATTTCAGTAATCAATTCATCATGATTAATCCGATTCTTTCAGCCCTAATTCTCATTCAAATTTTCAAAAATAAAGCAGAAATAATAATTTTCATCTAAAATGTTGATTAAAACACAACATTCGATATTATCTGCTGAGATAATCACTACAGTGATATATATACATGGGGCTACAGCTGGAATATAAAGTGCAGATGGCCCTTTAGGGGTCACTTTTACTGCTGCAACGCATCACCATCCCATCTGCACAGGTGTCACCCTCCATCTCTCCTCTCAGTGCCCCTAATAAACTCAGCCCATCTCCTCCTCTCTGCGCGGTGGCAGGTGTCCAGCCCAACTGCGGCCCCTCCAAAGACAACAAGGCCTGATAGCAGGGAAACAGGAGTGAGTTGACTGCATAACAAGGACTTATTATGATGATGAAATGTCCTACAAGGTCCCAAACACCCTCTTAAAGAAATCTCTACCTCTGATAAGGGGAGTCTAACAGTCAGCCACCCTAAGGCATGCGGGGGAGGAGGGACGGGTTCTAACCTGATTGGATCGGCGGCTCAGAGGGGGCGCATGTAACAAAATCAAATGGCTGTCAAGCCTGTGTCATGCATAATTAATTGGGCCTTCTACGACCAAGTACAGGAAAATCCATGGTCATTTGATTAGAGGGGGTTTGGAGGACTCTGAAGTGCATCGCTGTCTGAGCTGCTTCCACACCATCCCCGTGAGGATGGTGTCACAGAAACTTAAAGTTCAAGTTTGGTTTCAGTTGGAAGTTCAAGTCAAACCTGCTCTCACTGATGTTTGGAGGTAGGATGAGCTCATTAAGCAGGAGACGCATCCAAAACAGACAGACAGAAATAATCTAATGCTCATAATTGAGCAAAGAAAAGAAGACAAGCAAGCAGAAATCAGGAAAGCTCCACAATGTTAGCGTTTATGGAAGAATGGTAAGAACAAATATTTTTTCTGGTCATTCCTCTATCCAACAGTAGCTTTTCAAAGAACGGCAAGAACTCCTCTCTGTTCAGTTTTCTACAAGCCAAATACAAACAAAGTGGAGGAAGATCTTCTGGATCAGTTGAGACAAAAACTGACCTTTTTGCCCAAATGCAAAACAGTGTGTGCCAGAAAACCCGATGCTGAAACCTGCTTTAAATTTAGGATTCTGCTAACCTTCCTACTATGAAGATGTATTTTTGTGCAAGTATACCTTGAATTAAAAAGGTTAAATTTCTTTCATAACTTAAATAGTGAAACTTATGCAGTTTATTATACAGAATGATGCATTTAAAATGCATTTCAGTTCATCAACTGAATTAAACATAAACCTTCTGAATATCATGTACCAGCCAGAAGGAGATGCTGATTTTGTAGTGATGCTTCTTAGTTACAATTTTCACTTTTTCCTCCTTTTACCTGCTTTCTTTTTTGTGTATCTGCGGTCTTGTCTTTTTTTTAAGATAAGACACTCATTAATTGTTTTGAGGTTCTGTATTCTTCATAGAATGTCATTTTAAACAACATAATTATGAAAATATCTTAAGAAATTATAGTTAAGACAAAAGCTAAAGCACTCTGCTTCCTAAAAGCACCAAAAACATTTGTGTGAGGATGCTGCCATCTGTAGGACAACTAAAGAACTACACAGGGTAATCGAGTCGATTTTTGTATGCAGGCAGAACTTTATTCAAAAAGAATATATACTGGAATTATAGATGAATATATTTACACATGTAAATAGATGATAAAATGTGAAAAATTGAGCTTCAGTTGCTGCAATCTCTGTAGGCACCCTGTGTGCATACGGAGATGTCTTTCAGAGGTTGTTTTTTTTAATAAGGACAACTCCCTCTCATTCTAGGGAGATTTTCTGATGTCATCTTTAAATCAGTCACATGTCTCAAATAAAAGAAGAAAATAATCCACCATCATGTGTCCATCGCTGCTCGAAATGGAAGACAGCTTCCATCTGCGTCTCGCCATCATCTTTCCCATCGCAGCTGAGACATTTACTCCACAGACAGTTTTTTTTTCTTTTTCATTTTTCAGTACCTTTATTTATGTACTTTCAGTAGTGACACTCTGGATCTGCTCTCAGATCCCGTTAGTAGGAGCCGCCGTCTGGACCAACCGACTGCTACCGTCCAATCAGACTCGAGTGATTTTGTTTGGAGACTCAACTGGGTGTTACAATGAAGATGAAGGTTGGAAACTGTAGCGCTGGCAGTAGGGAGACGGGCGGAGTGTCTTCCTAGTTAGCCAGGTGGGGCTGAACGTCAGGGATGAGTGAGGTGAAGAAGGTGCTGATGAAGGCCCACGCCACAGTGAGGATGTTTGGCTCTGGCAGGGCCGCACCCAGGTCTTCGTTTTCATTGCCTCCTCCTCCTCCTTCCTCACCGCTGTCATCATCCTCCATCCCCTCATCCATGAGTCGCTCCTGGGACAAACAGACACAATCAGAGTCACATAGGTACTCATGTTTTCAAGGCAACAACAGTTTTTGTGCAATCCTGTTGAACAATCATTTATGTTAATAGATTATAGGATAATAAATAAAAATGTGCAAAGTACCTAGTTTGTTGTGGAATGAACTAAACCTCCAGCTTTGCACATAGATGAACTATGCTCACAGGAGTTTCTTTTGCATCTTCTGTTATCAAATCAATTATTTTTCCTCACATATGGATTTTCTGAAGAGTCAATTTTGAAATACAACGCTGAGAGAAACAAAAATATATATAAATAGATGGGATACAGATACAAATACATTTGGAGGTGGATTTAATCTCTTGGGCTTGGGGTTTTTGAAAAAAAAAAAAAAAAAAAAAAAAGTACAATTTAACATGTCATTTACTTTCAAAAGCAATGAAACACAGAAAACAGGAAAATGATGCTTCAAACTCACAATTTCCTGCATGTCCTGCTGCCTCTGCGCTTCTCCTGGAGGAGCGCCGGCCCTTTCTCCTCTGACGTTCTGCTGTTCTGGTCTGAAGGGAAACCACTGAGCCTGGTGCCTGAAACCATGAAATAAAAATAAACCTAAAATTATCAAAAAAGAAAAAAAAAATGGCATCTTAAGCTTTGGACAACAGGCGGAGAATGATTTCCTCCACATGTATCCAGAATTGGTAAAATGCTAAAAGCTAATTACATATTTCTCAAGACTATGTATGAACATGTATCAAATGTACCAAATATGTCACATATTGGAAATGTTATGATTGTATTTCCATATAAGGTGATTTCAAAACAGATATCAGGAATCCAGACCTCAATATGAGCAGTGTGGGATTATTGTCATTAAGAACATGAAACAAATGAAGGATCTAAAGAAAAACTATTTTTACGTAAAAGCAGAACAAAGGCGGCTCTTTAAACTCTGTTCTGACCTCATTCTATGTGTTTCTGTGAGAATCTGTTCGGCCCGAATTTCCTGACAATGCATACAGAAAGCATGAGTGACTTACAGATAGACGAGCAACATGGCGCTGACCACCATGACAAAGCGACTGAAGGAGGAGTAGAAGTAAACGATGCTCAGCAGAACTCCAGCCCGTGAAACCGTGTACAACCAGTCCAGCCAGTCCTGGTTCAGCTCGTCGTCGTTCAGCACCGGGCCGCCCTGTGCGTTCATCTGGACCGGGTTGGCAGGCAGGTTCTCTTGTAGAGGGTCCTGGGCTGGGTTCAGGCCCAGCGGAGGCTGCACAGGTTCATTGGGCTGAGCGGGCTGATGAGGGGATGAGGAAGGAGGCGAGGGAGGAGGAGCGCTGGGAGGCTGTAACGCAGCTACTGCTGCCTGACTGCAAGGAGAAGAAACAACATAGACGTCAAGATTGAGAGGAAGAACAATTACAATTGAAATCCAAGGGAAGAATCCCATAAGGAAACTTGTTCACATGATGAGGTTTCATGGCTGCAGCTAAAGATTATGATAATCTATGATAAAAAATTATCCCCTAAAATGCAATAACATGGCACTGCTTTAGTGAACACTTGATCATTTGTAACAATGAATGCATCTGCAGCTAAAAAAAAAAAAAAAAAAAACTCAGGGAAGATAAATCCTGTCTACTTGGTGTCAGTAGTGAAAGAATAATCTGTTGATATATAGAAGTTTAATTCACCCATCTTAAATGCAAAATGTGTGTGTATATATATATATATATATATATATATATATATATATATATATAGACTGCATGCTTTATTCTGTATACTCTAGTTAATTATTCAATTATTAGATGATGATTATACCTGATTAATTGTTTCCTACCTATAAGCTTGTAGAGGTGAGCTCTAGTAACACACTTACTATTGCATGTAGTAGTGGCGTGCGTACATCTGCTGCCACCACAGCATCTGCATGGGCATGCTGGCAGGAAGGCCCCCTTGTAGAGGCGCTCCATCTGGGCTGTGGAATATTACAGTTTTATTAGTTAATATAGTAACACTGAGGCACAGAAAGTAGAATAAAAGCACACATTAGCATTTGTAGAAAATGTATTTAAGCTTCAGAGTGTTGCCAGAATTTTCCCTCAATGTGAGGTTTATTGAAGTCAAACATATTTTACAGTTCTGTTTCCAGGCTTGTAAAGAACAAGACGTTCCATTCTGTAAATTAATCAGTATGCTGGGATCTCCTACTGTTGAAGTATATTATATGGCCCAAATGGTTGGGTTTGTGTCTGGTACCTCTTAAAGTTCAGGAGGTTTTTCCAAAAAAGCTGAATAGCAACTATTTACTAAAAGGTCACCTTATAAAAAGAGGAATTTAGTCCTGCCGATGTCTGATGACGCGAGCAATCTCCTGTTTTCATCTCTCAGACAAATGTATTATAATTATGTCAAGCAATATTAATAAATATTGCTTTATTGGGAATATTTATGCCAATAAAGCAGGGTAATATTAACACTAAAAAAAAATCAGAAAAAAATGCTGCTCATGCCACTTAATTAGTTCAACAATTTATAGGTATTTAGAAAATAAAGAGAAGGTATGACCAATAACCATTACTTTCCTTTTCTGATTTCACTTTAGCAATCACAACTTTATGGACTATTTTTCCAATTCATTGTATGAGTGAGTTACAGGCTAAGAAAAAAAAATTATTATACGAATAAAGTCAAAATATTGCAAGAAAAACATTGTAGTGTTGCAAGAATAAAGTCGTAAGAGGAAATAAAACACCAAAATAATATGAGCATGATATTTTCATAATGAGAATAAACTCATATTACAAGAACAAAGAGAATAAATTCACAATATTATCAAAATAAGTAATAATAAAATTATACTACAAAAAGTCAAAACATTATAAGAATAAAGTCATAATAATATGAGAAAAGTTGTAATAACAGGAGAACAAAGTCGAATATAATATTACTAGAATGAAGTAGTAATTTTATAATAATACATGAAAAATAGTCAAATAAAATTAAATCATAAATGTTAAACATCTCGTGAAGTTATACTTTGGTTTTATAAATACAGACTTAATGTTGTCACATCAGATCTTGATAACTATTGAAGCTTTGCTCTCATTAAAAACTTTTTTCCAAGTAATTTTATGACTTTCTTCTGTTATTTTTGTGTCTATTTTGCAAATGTATGACTTTATTCTCATGATTTCAAAAACAACAACATCAACAATAAAAAATTAAGCCCTTTATATTACGGTTTTCACTCAAAACCTGCTCACCAGTGAGGAACTCCGTTGGTTGTCTGAGGATGGAAGGAGGGAAGGCCAGTGCGACGCCTCAACTCATCGCAAGATCCCGAGGGTGATGAAGAGACAGAAGAGGAGGAGGCTGATTGGCTGTCCAGGTTTGGCTTTGAGGCAGGTGAGGAGGAGCTGCTGCCATCTGAACTCTGCAAAAACATATAAACACTGATATAACCAAACAAATAAGTTACATTTGTGAAGAGGACAGATTAATCTAAGCAAGAAGTCTAAAAACAAAATCTTCCGTGTAGTGAAATACTTTGGTCACAGAAAAACATCCAACTCGATCTGGTTTCTGACTGGGTTTCTTTTAAACATATTTACTCACGCCGGCGTCAGAAGCAGGGGAGTTGGAGGGAGTGTGAGGCATTGGCGAGCCTGAGGGACCAAAAGACGGATAATCCAGATGCATCACGTGGCATTCATCCTTCTGCAGGGTTGATCATGCTGCAGACAACCAAATGATTTGAGAGGTGAGAAAGGATAGGCAGCAAAACAACAACAGAGACAAAGCCAGAAGCAGAGGAAGAGGAGAGATTACAGTGGAACAGGATGGAAATCACACACACAATAATCCCCTTTTGTTTGTTTGATCAGCCATTGTTTGACAGGCAGCCTGTTTCAGTTCCCCCACAGGCTGAGGCACAATGAGGCAACTAAATACACAACGCTGCAGTTTCCCAGCTCATAGACAAATTGCATCTGCAAAATTAAATGTGTGTTTCTGTTTGTTCTTGGTATAGTAACACCCTTCAATTTATTAATAATGGTCTGAAGCCGTGGGACAGCTGCAAAACAGAAAATGTTCTTCATGGTTGTGTGATCCATATATCAAAAAGTATTCATAAAATCAAACAATTGTCAAATTATCATATAATGCATTTAAAGACATGCAGAAATTACAGAAAAACTAGATTGTATCTGGTACATGTAAGAGCTCAAACGTTCAGTGTTACTACAAAGTCAGTTTCATTCAGAAAAAAAATACTTATGAAGTTCCAGCTGAGAAAAACGTGTCAAGTAACCAACAGATAAGATTATAAAAATGGAAATTATATATTTCAACCACAAACAAATGTGTGAAACGGTAAGCATAATGTATTACTCTCATTTTGATTTAGCTACCATTCCAAAACAGCAAAACTGATCACAGTATAGATTCAACAGTCAAACACAAACACGACTGATAAAACAAAAAAAAACTTAAACGAGTTAATTCATTACACCAATTACATTAAATAGTGAAACTGTTAAGCTAATCAATATCAACAATCATGTCTAAAAGGACAATAACATATTGTAAAACAGAGCAGCATCACTGGCTATTCTTTCATGAAACCCACAGTGGGAAAATAGTCTGAACACAAAACTCCCACAATATTGTCAATTTTTGGGGTTTCAAAACATTATCAACTTATATTATTTTCATGGTGTGAGTGACTAATTCTTCTTTTGGTGAATCAGAAATGTTTTTTTAAACTCCGATTTGAAATTTCATATTTTCACATAATGTTCTAGCATTGCTTACCTCTATGATCGCATTGCGGTCTTCCTCAGTAAATCTGCTCCAGTTTTTTGGATTGCTGCAAAACAAACAAAACATTAATAATATGATGAAGTGAGGAAGAGTGTTACAATTTAAATTCGAGGGTTAATAATTTGCTAAATTAAATTTTTGCTTGCTTGATTCAGGTTACCTAACTAGAGGGTCATTAACACACCATGCAGTAAATTTGAACACAAGTTTCAGTCACTGCTTGAAACCCGACATTTTATTGAATCTTAAATTAGGTTGAAAAGCAGTTCAGTGAGCCTAGATGGAATTGGAAAGATTAGCTTTTTTTTATTACAACCCCATTTCTGGCAAAAATGCTCCATCAAATGGATGTTTTGAGTACAGTGGTGGCTGCACAGTGGTGCAGTTGGTAGAGCTGGTGCCTTACAGCAAGAAGGTTCTGGGTTCGATTCCCAGCCTGGGTCTTTCTGCATGGAGTTTGAATGTTCTCCCTGTGCATGTGTGGGTTTCTCCGGGTACTCCGGTTTCCTCCCTCAGTCCAAAAACATGACTGCCAGGTTAATTGGCCTTACAGTGTCCCTAGGTGTGAGTGTGTGCATGCATGGTTGTTTGTCTCTGTGTTGCCCAGACTGGCGACCTGTCCAGGGTGACCCCGCCTCTTGCCCAGAATGTTAGCTGGAGAGGAACCAGCAACCCTCCCTAAGGAACAAGGGTGTTAGAAAATGGTTGGATGAAGTACAGTGGCTTGGTGATTCAATTATACTAGCAGACTGGTTTGGATTTCAAAGCATATTCCAGGTATCTAGCACAGACTCACTTCCACGCAGCCAAAGAAAAAACAAACAAAAGGAAAACCTATGTATGTGGAAACTGTTGGCTATTTTCCAATTTTTTTTTTTTTTAAAAAGAAGTAACCATCTGTATGTGGCCAACCACAAGGCTGAGCTAACCAGAAACCAATTCCTCTGTTTAACTCATAGCAGTTTGACTTTAAGATAAATGTATCCAAATCTTCTGGTGAAGGCGACCCTAAAAATTCCACTTATGAGTACACACTTTTTCATGACACAATCATGAACTGAACCAACGTAAAAATGAATGTCACATAACTATATTGTTTATCCTGAAAAACGTGTTCTAGTCAAGAAGTCTTATTTGCTGTAATCTTTATTTGGTCTGACAAGGATAAAAACTGTAGGATACTTTATATAGATAAATGTGGTTTTATTTTAAAAATAGAATTCAGATAAACAAAAATGAAAGAAAAATTGGAGAAATGCAGAGTTTGAATGAGAACATTCAGGGTTAGGGAGAACATTCAAACTCCATGCAGAAAGATCGCAGGCTGGGAATCGAACCCAGAACCTTCTTGCTGCAAGGCAACAGCTCTACCAACTGCACCACTGTACAGCCTTATTAAAAAATAAGTAAAATAAATTGCCAAAGTATATTTAATGTGTTGTGTTTACTAACTACATATTTTAAATTAGCTGTAAATGAATGAACATAATTTGTTTGGTAAGCTCTGGGACATCGTTCTTCTTTATATATATAAAAAAAAGCCTATAAAGAAAACAATATAGTTTTTTTTTTCCTGAAGTCTTTCTTAATTGTCTGTTTAGTTTTAGAAAAGGAAGTGCAGAAAAGGAATTTACTTTTAAATGATACATATAAGATTTTGAACAATAGCTAAATCTTAACAGTTACTTTATCATCAAAACACCTGTTTTCAACTATAAAATACAGATTTTGGAAACACTAAGAGGCTTTACTGTTTTATGACATTGTGAAAACTAAATTTTTTTATTTAATATTATGCAACCTAACACAGGAGAAAACACACAACAGGTTTATAGTTTACACATATGTTGAAATTTGTTAGTTGCTGTTCTGTATTTCATAAAACCTGATTCTTTAATTGCAGAAATACACAAAACAGAGGTCAAAACAGAAACTAAATGTCACTGAGGCGCAGTTTCAGGGTTTCTATTGACTCTCACTGCCACCTGCCATGTTTACTGGCATTTCAATCTTCCCTCAAAGAGGCAGAAGCCTTGGGGGGTCCGACGTAATAACAGCTACCTAAACAATTAGGCATTTTCAAATTAAAACCTCGCTTTTTAAAAGACAAATGGATAGTTTTAAAGGAAGTTTTTTATTTAAACCCTATTCATGAAGCTACGGTTAGCTTGCCAGCTTGTTAGCCAGTTTAACTAGCCATGTATCACATCGTTACTTCATTGACAACATATTTATCCGTCTGAGTTTTATACATATACTCAAAAAATATTTTTCTGTACCTGTTTCCTCCTTTAACAGCGTCGTCTCCTCACCCCTGCTAGTCTCGGCTCGCCTGCCTTGTTTTTATGTCGACTATGGGAGCGGAACCCACGTGACCTCCGCCTTCATAACAGCTGATTATGACGTCAAGGAGCTTCCTAGCTGGCCATGTTGGAGGACACACAAGTCTGAAGCGACAATGAAACTGTGATGCGTGGTCCTTCATAGATGCACAATGCCGAGTTTCTGTGCTATAGTCGGCTGTGGAAACCGAGGACAAAGGGACGTGAAGAGCTTCTTCCGGTTACCGGCGGTCATCACGAACCAGGGCGAGAAAACGGAGGGCTTGTCCAGACGGAGGCGATGTTTGTGGTTGTCAAAAATAGCGAGGGATAATCTGCGAGATTCAATGCTACCTTACATCCGCGTCTGCTCGGATCACTTCACATCAGGTTAGTCTCTATTACAGTTGTAGTTCCAGCATGGAATAAAGTGGGCTATAAAGTAAAAATGTAATTTACTGTTGTCAGGGCAACAAAAGGTAAGTGTCGAATCCCCGCCCCCCCACCCCCACTCTTTCCTCTGTAAGGTGTATAAATGTTATTGTCTCTAAATGCCACCAAATTCTTTTTAACACTTAACACATAAAACCTATCACCTTTTCTAAACAGTTTTGCTTAGAGACAACAATAAACAAGCCAGGACTAGTACAGCCAATGTTTTTCCTGTTTAAAAAATGCACTAGTATTAAGAATTTTTATTTTATTTTATATTTTTAAGTAGAAAACGGTTTAGGCAAATTAACTTTCATCAATAATATGGAGAATTTACATTTAGATCTAACATATAGGTATAATATTTTTATTTTGATTTAACATTTAGTTTTAACATTTAGATAGAAATTTATTAAGATAGATATTTAACATTTAAATCTAATATTTATATTAACATTTAGATTTTATAAAATAATGTGTAAAATGGTAATTTCATGGCATGGTAATTTCTGATTTTTTAAATAGACATTTTAATTAATAAAAGATAAAAAAAATTTCTGCTATTTCTTTTGCATTCATATTTTACACTTGAGATTTAAGGATGAGCAGCAAAAGCAAATGACGTGGATTAGCAGTGCTTTCCAACAACTGATGACGTCATCCAGGAAATGTTAAAGTGGATGACATCCCACAGTAGAGTAGCTGGAGATTGAGACTGTCATACAGCAAAAGTCTTCAGTCAGAAGTCTCTTCAGATTTGTTGCAAGATTGACTGCTACTGGAGATCTTTCCTGCCCACAGCATCACCATCCAGAATGACTCTGATGTTATTTGAAGTTACAATAGTCATTTTCCCTTTGGGATAAACAAAGTATTTTTTTAAATTTTGTGTAATTTTAAAGTGAAACATATTGTGCTGAACTTTGTTTTCTCATAGGCCGACCTTCTGCTCTGTATGATGATGCCAACCCAGACTGGGCGCCTTCTATAAATCTGGGCTGTGATGGGAGGGATGAGGTAACCATTTCCACTGGAGGCACACAAAGACGCAAAAGGAAGCGTTATGGGAGAAAAAAGATTTTGGAGCAAGTTGCTGCTTCAGCATTGCTTGATCTAAGAGATGCTGCTCATGAAGACGATGAGGAATATACTGAACACAGGAAATCAGTTAACGTTCAGACTGATCTCACCTCTGAATGCATCACTTCAATGCAGATGGAAATAAAGAGACTCATAGAGGAAAACCAAACTTTGAGGAAGGATGTTGCAGCTCTAAAATTAAAGGACTTTTAATTTCAATTTGAATGACTTGTGAAAATACAAAGAATAACAAACATTGCATAGAATAATAGTTTTGTTTTACTGTAGCCATGTTCCTCCTTTTCAGATGTGGACGGAGCTAAAAACTCATCTGTAAAAGATTAATTTGCAAGTAATACTGATGAGGTCACCTTATTAGTGTTTTTGATACTTAACATGAGTTAAGTATCAAGTCAACACCAATGATTGTCTGTTTGAGCTCCTGATCATCCATGATTTGCAGCAGAGACGTTTTGGTTTCTGGGTGGAAGTAAGTGTTGTGACGTTCTCTCATGTCCCACATAAAGGAATAAACAAAGGCAGAGCAGGCTCTGCTAAACACAGTTCTGGTCTGAAGTCTATATGCATTCATAACTGACGTGAACAGGATATTAAGTTGGTTCTTTGAGTGATTTATTTCAGCTGCTCATTTTAAAGATGAACTGGACTGAAAATACCTTAATTAAAAAAGAAATAAAGGACTTGATTTGTACACTTTGGCTGTGTTGTGCTTCTATCAGAGAAGGCACAACACAGCCTGAGATTTCCTGAGATTGATGTTTGATTTGACTGTTTAAGCATACAAGGATCACAAAACTTTTTTAAAAATGTGTAAAAGCTACTTTTGATACTTATTCATTTTAGAAAAGTAGCATTTTTTTTAAAAGTCTTTATTATCCACAGCTGACCAAACAGAATGTTAGATAGTACACAGCAAAGTAAAGTGCATGAGGTGGCTTGTTTGGGTGGCTCTTTTCAATGAGAATTCCCATAGTCAGCTCTTCTTGTTTACATTACAGTTCACAGTACGGCACCAAATTATCTGTAGTTCTGATTACTGCTTCAGTTTGCGCAGAACCTCCCGGGTCAGCTGCTTACTGTACTGGTTGATCTTCCAGTGTCCCGGCATCCATCCCAGGAGAAAACGATGGAAATCCGTCCACGCGAATGCAAACATCTCTCTCCACTCCTTCTCAAGAGCATTAAAGTTCACATCTTTATTAACAAATGTCTTCAGTTCTGCGAAATAGTGGTCCAACAATCCCGGTACCCGTTTATCACATTCCCTCTCATCCATGCAGCTACCGAGAAAATACACAACATCTTTCATCCCACAGCCGCCGCCGACGTACTGAAAGTCCACGGCGGCCACTTTGAGTCCGCTCTTTGAGAAGCAGAAGTTGGCCAGCTTGGCGTCTCCGTGAACGATGGTTTTAAAGTTACACTCGTTGAGGATCCTGTCGATGTCGCCCGCTGCGGCTTTGAGCTCAGCGTTGTCCATGGCTTCCAGCTCATCTGGCCGGGTCTCCAGGTGCCAGTAGGTGCCGACTGGCCACAGACCCTCTGGGGTCACACCCAGGAAGAGGGCATGGAAGTGGGCGAGCCAGCTCAGGCAGGCCCTTATCTCTTTGTCCTTCAAGCTGGTTCTGCAAATGAAAACATGAAAAATCACATTTCATCTGCAATTTGGTAAATAAAATCACTGATTTGTAACTACTGTATCCAATTGGAGAATTGGTTTGAAAGTTCAAAAAAGCCTTTTTGCAGATAAATTATAGAAAAAAATACAAGAGCTCAAGAACAAACGTATTTGCTTTTTTAAAATTTTAATTAGATTACTCGGTCAGATCGGTGCAAAGACCTTTAATAGACATCCAGCATGCAGCATTGGACACTGACATTAGCTTAGGGGACGTCTGTGCAGCTTCAACATGTTTTGCATTGAGATCCTATTTTAAGATTTAATAGCTTCGGTGATAGGCCTACTCCTTTTTGCATACATTGCTCATAACAAAAGACTTTTCCAGCTGACATTTTTTTTGAAGCAAAATTAACCCAAGCGGGTCAAGAGAAGCAGCTGTGTTCAATCAAAGGCACCCCTAAAAAAATGAAATGGGCTTTTATCCTTCATTTAAAGGAACTCAGTGTTTCAGCTGCATTGCAGTTTTATGCAAGTTTATTTTAGATTAGATGAACATAACAATTGAAAGCTGCTTTTCCATGTTTGGTTCTTATTCTAGGGATGCAGACATCTGAAAGGTTGATACAACATCAAATCAGAGTGCATAGAGAGGCAGGGGTTGTTAATTTTTTTTATACAGGTGTGGCAATGATGATTTTGCTCTGTTCAGATGAGAACAACAATAGAGGGAGTTTGCTCAAAGATTGTGATTATAAATTGTTTCATATTGGTGGTGTATAACTCTTCTGGTTAGGTGAAGCCATTTCAGAGATACTCACATTTACAAACTGCTTTAATTTTGACTGTCTGTGGTCATACCTTCTCTGGTCATAGCCCTCCACATCCAGATCTTCCAGAACTATCAGCATCTCGTCGCCATAGGAACGGGCGGCAAGGCAGGCGGGGATGCGGCAGCTCTGATTAGTGGAGTAGTTCTGGTACCAGTGGGTCTCCACCTGGTAGGACCTGACTTTACGGGCGTGGGAGTGATTCGTGTTCCAGCCGCCCGGGTGCTCTGCGTCTTCCGGAAACTTGACGTGTTTGACCACCACCGAGGGCCGCCCGCAGCCCTCCAGGTGCAGCCGCACTATCTCCCCGTAACCGCTCCACAGAGTCTGGATCTTAGCGCCGACACGCAGCGATGAAGCACCGCATGTCTGCAGGATGAGGTCCTGGTACTCCTGCTTCATTTCCACGGACAGATCTGAACCAAACGGACAGTGGAGCGCAGTGTTTGAGTCACGTTGACAAAAGACATTTGTTGTCTTTTGTCAACAAATGATTAAACTTGGGCAATTAAGCAGGAAAACCAAAAGCAAGCAGTTATGGCAAAGAGTTGAAAAAAGAAAGCAAATGCATGACATTAAATGAGGTACGATATATATAAAAAAGGAAAAACAAGAATCGATTATTACAAGTATTTACCCTCAGCTTCCTGACGGAGACACCCTTTCTTCTTCAGCTGTGTTTATTTATTTGTTGGCGCATTGCCGCCACCTACTGGACAGCAGTGGGGATTTGAAAAGGAAAAACGCTGAAATTAGATAATCTTTCTAGTCTTAGAAAAGTCGGAACTCTTTCGGAATCTTCAAAATAGTGTTTGTTTTAATAAGTCTGCCCTTCCAATCTGGTATTTACACCTTAGGTATTTATCCAGTACATTGTTTCTAATAGTAGCATGCTGCCCCAAACAAAGAGAGGCAGTTGACTTTCTTACTCTTTATGGCTTTGTAATACTTCCTAGTTACTTTGTTCACTTTCTGCTCCACTTGCATTACTGCTTTTCATCTTTCATTTCCTTCAAGGCCATTCACTGTGCTTACCTTCCCTATTATGCAAAAATTTTGCAAAAACCACAGCATCAGTCTCCAGTGTCATTTTGTTCTCCATCCCCTCAGAAGTAAATGAAGTGTTGCTGATTGTTGTCCGGACTTATGACTTAAAGAACAACACTTATCTGCTTAAAGGCAAAGTTTTAACAGTGTTACATACTGATGAAACTTGTTTGCCCTGTCCACAGTGATGGTGAAAGGAAAATTTAACTCTTTCACAGCCAGGGTTTTTTCTAAGGCACAAATTAGCAGTTTGTTGTAATTTGCAACTCCTCTCTCTATGTGGCAGTTTTAAAAATCTGTTGAATAAATCAGATCAGTGAAATTTCAATTTATTTTAGTAACTCAATTCACTAAATGAAGCACTTTTACAGATTAAGAAAACACTGATGTTGTAAATCCGTTATTTGTAATATTTTTTGACATGTAAGATTTGAAAGTCATCATTCTAGCACAGAAATGTTTTTGTCTTTCAAAAATGTACTTTTTGAACTGAAAAAAGAAACAATCTTCACTAGAATGCTTATTCTAATTTATTGAACTTGACTCTTTATTATAATTTTTTGGAGAAAATATAAACATATCCCAAAATTAAAAACACCTACAATTTCTTTGAATAATCTTTAAAGTTTTCTATACCATCACAGTAAATAATTCAGAAGTAAATAATTCAGAAAAGATGACAACAACAATACCCTGGAAACCTGCCATTTCCTTCTTTTTGCATATTTAAACACATTATTTCCATGAGATTACTCACTAGTGGAGCTCAGGAAATATTCATCTGTTTCTCCTGAGCAAATATCATTTTTAGATATTTGAGTTTTGGACCTGGCAAGTAAAGAATGCTGGACATCTACACACAGAACTGATATCAATAATCTACCAATAATCTATCAGCCAATAGCCACAGGTAGGTGGAAGAACTGATCACTGACTGAAAGATGAGCAGGCATGAAAACAAAAGCAATCAGACTGACACCTTAAAAGCAGGAAATATTTATTCTGATATATTGTTGGTAAGAAAAAGAAAAGTTATCTACCTCTTATAGTGAAAGTAAATACCTGATCTTGCCTTTAATTTTCATACTGCTTTACATACAGATTAGAAGTCAAATGTCTTGAGAGCTGATTTATAACAGAAACAGCTTCTCAAAAATGTGAGAAACAAATTTATCACATGTGAGCACACCCTAAATCTCAAAATTATTGCTGGTGATTTTTATGGTCATACAGTTTTTGATTATTTTTGAAAAATGGAAAATGTGTAGAGTTAGAAAAGCACAAAATCGGACATTTTACATACCGGTAAGTATTTCTTTCCTACACACTCAATGTTGTTGAAACATGATGATCCAATATTAAGTTGCTTCTGAAGGATTACATATCAGTTGACTTAGATCATCTGGGCTTTCCCAAATTGTTCAAAGACAAAATATGTAAACGTTTCACTTTACAGAAAGTCCTAAAAAAAATCCTATAAGATCATGTTATTCTGGCATTTAAAAAGAAACGTAATGTTTGTAAAACAGTAAATGTTTCATCTTATTTCATGTCAGTGAGGAAAAGGAATATGGATTCCTGGTCTTTACTGTCATTTCCATACTGATTTCCATACACAGGAAGAAAAGCAGGTAATTTAAGTCATGACTGTCACAAAGTGCCCACCACAAACTATTCAGAGACAGCTTCAAACATGCTTTGCACAGCTGTCAAAGAGGTTTAATTCAGAAGTTAATTTTTAGTAGCCCCTATTATTGCTGAACATAGGACTCAGAAAACACAAGGTAAGACTCTTTCTAAATCTTATAATATTCATTGTTTATTCATTTATTAACAATTTCTTTCACCACATGTAACAAAGACATTACAGAAATTATTTTCCATTTACTTTATGCCTTTATTTTGTCATCCTGTACTTTTGTTATTCTTCTTTTGCTTTTCTTTTATCTACAGCAAAGCAAAAGAAGAAGGAAAAAAATATGAAAATGTTTTTCATTTAGTTAAATGTATGATCAACTATTAAGATAATATGTTTGTATTATATATTTCAAAACAGACATTTCTAAATAAATTCAATCCATAGATTGAAATCATACGTGACAAAATACATTAACATCTCTCTACCACTTTTATAAGCCTCTATTGCACTATAGTAAATACTTTGCTATATAAATAAATTCATCTCAGTTTTCTTTCTTCCCGTAGCTTCATAGCAGCCATGGGAAATGTCATAAAGCTAATGATTCTTGCAGGTTAGTTTCTCCATTTTCTATACATTTGTTTTATACATGTGTAAAACATGTGCCACCTCCAAAGCATATTTCCTTACAGGAAAGAATTTCCAGTATTTCCAACTAATCCTTGTTGCTCTTTAAACTCCTAACTTTTTTCTACAGGACTTTGTTCTCTTTGTCTCTGTGTGTATCAGTACCAATATGTCTTGTTTCAAACTCCAAAAACCTGGACCGATGCGCAGAGCTACTGCAGGGAAACATGTGTTGACCTGGCCACCATGGAAGACATGAATGAGATGGAAATGGCTCTTCAAAGTGTTGGAGATGACTACAGTGATGCCGTATGGATTGGGTTGCACAAAGGAAGCGACCCAAAGTGGCACTGGTCTCTGGCAGACAAAGATTTCTACAAAGATGGAGAAAAACATTATCTAATATGGAGCTCGTTAGGTGACAACAACTGTGGTCTTTACGGTTCTGGAAAACTTTCTACAATCTCTTGTGTCTATGCCAAATATGCAGTCTGCTTTGATAGTGAGTATTCCTTTTACATTTTTCTCCTAATAATATACAAACACTGATAATCAATTATGTATATCAAAACACAAATGAACCTTATTGTGCTCAATTACAGTATCAGAACATGTTTACATAGAAATGTTTGTGTCATTGGTTTCATGTAATGCAAACAATCAGGAGTGAAAACAAACATATTATTTCAGCAGCCATATTGGATATCTAACCAATATTATCAAACGTTGTGTTTGACCAAATGCCGTTTGACCAAATGCCCACCTTGTACACTCTAACATGAAAATTACAGCAGCATTAAGGTTTTCTGCCTGGTCAGTGATGTCCGTATCAGCCTGAGACTGCATTGGGATTCCCCTCGAACGTTTTGGGGAGTGTTGCTCATCAGAGGGATGTCTGCGTTATTCCTGAGACCCAATCTCACATAACAGACAAAAGATGGATGGATGTTTTCTGCTGCATTTACGCCTCTTGTCCACATAGAAACTGTCATATGTCCAAAGTAGATTTTTAATAAAATCGTTAGAATCCTTTTTGTGATTTATCTGTGTGAATTAAATAGTCTAAGTTTAATTCTGTACATGCCTGCTTTGTGGATGCGCTCCACTGTTTTTGTTGTAACAAACACAAAAATGTTTTTTTCAGGCTCAGAACAGGGAGCAGCTCAGTACATCCTCACTCCAAAACCGATGACTTGGACCGCCGCTCGAGATTTCTGCAGACAAAACTACACAGATCTGGTCAGCTTGAGGAACGATGCAGAATACAAGACAGTCCAGGAAGTAGCCAATGGGAAATCCGTATATGTTGGCCTCTTCAGAGACCCCTGGGTTTGGTCAGACCTGACTGACTCTTCTCTGAGGTACTGGAGGGAATCCCAAGAGATAAATGCACTAAGCAGTGAATATTGTGTTGCCATGCTGAAGAATGAATCTGGCAAATGGGGAGACAGGGACTGCACAGAAATGCAGCCTTTCCTCTGCAAATGCAGTATGTAAAATTTCTAATCAATACAGACTGACAGTTATGGATAAATGTGCAAACTGTAGAACCAGCTCCTAAGCAACCCCGACATGATTTGGTTTTATTTTGACTTTTAGGAAAATCTAATGTGCAGTTTGTGAAACTGCGGCTCAGCCTGCAGGACTCAACTTTAGATCTGAATGACCCTGCAGTGCAAAACAGCATCTTGGAGAAAGTAAGTCTTCCAGATTTTGGCCTTTACATGTAGGAATGCTTTGATTCAGTCAGCTTAAACTACATGTACATACTGGTTAAAAATGATGGTTTCTTTACCCCAGATGAAGCAAAGGCTGAGTGAAAATGTGAATGATGTCATCCATCTTAACTGGAAAAATCACTCAGATGGAAGAGTTTTCATCAAGGAGACAGAGGATCACAACCCATGAGAGGAATACAGGATGACTGCTAAGATTCTGACCTGACGATGTAAAAGTCCACCAACCAGGGTGGTAACAAAAAAAACATTTAGCTGTTGCTGATAAAGCTTTAATAAGAATTTTTTTCCAGAAAAAATACCTAATTTTGGAAACAATGTGATAATTATTCTAATTATTGTTGTTGTTAAATATCAGAAAAAATAAGAATGCAGAAACTTATCCCAAAAACTTGTTTCAAAGCATTATTACTAAATGGTTTAAAACAAAATCTTTTTATTCCTTGCTGTCCATTTGTCTTTTAAGAAGAACAGAAGGTTAATTTCAGATTTTTATGAACCTCACCTACCGGAATTACTAACGTAATAAGTTTCTTTATTGTTATTTTCTATGTTCTTCTAAAGGATGCATTAATCTTCAAGTCAGTTTAACTATTTAGCCTATGATTATGTGAATTTATATTCTACTATTTGTTCTTTTGCTTGAGAAACTGCTTGTTTTCCCAATTAAAACCCCAAATCCATTGCAGACACCTGTGATTTTCTGACAGAAAAAAAACAATCAGCAACATTTCATTCGCTTCTGAGGGGAAAACAAATGACACCAGAGACTGATGCTGTGGTTTTTGCAAATATTTGCATAAAAAGGAAGTGAAACACAGTGAATGACCTTGAAGGAAAGGAAAAATGAAAAGCAGCAACTCACTATTGGCAGAACTAGAAATTAATTTACAGGTGGGCAAATCATTTATCATACATAAACTCCCATTTAAATGTCAAATCCTGTTTGGTTATGAGAGCTCCTTTAGGAGGTCGTGTACTAAGACAAAGCATCTAGTGAAGCAAAGAAAAAAATATGACAGTTTCCATATGTCAGTCTCCAACAAAGTCCAGGTTGGACTCTTTTACCCATCAGAACTGCAATCCTGTTCATGGTAGAGATTCAACTAGGTGTTAGAAACATTCTTTAGATATATTAACATGATACCCTCACAAGCTTGGATCAGATCGTTGCACATCTATGAAACAAATGAAACCACATCCCAATGATGCTCTGTTATCATCAGACACTGTTGCACAGTTTATTCCCAATTGCATTGAGTTACTAGCATGTGATTTGCTGATTTTCTGTTTGTGTCAACAAGCAATTTAACAGAAAATTAAGTAGTGTGCAGTAATAACACTATGTACAAATAATCCACAACCAACTTTGCAGACTCATCATTATAGTGATTTATTAAAGAAATACACACCAGATTTCAGACAAGTAGAATAAACCACAGGATGAATAAGACCTATAAGACAGATCATTAAATCGTCTGATTGTCTGATAAATATGATAATCAGTTTGACAGATTCTGTTCAAAAGACAAGATTTTCAAGAGTTAGACATTATAGCTCTTCTTTTTAAATTAACTAATAAGTTTTTTTTATTTGCTTTTCAGTCTGTAGTCTCAAGTTGTTTCTTATCTTTCAAAATCAGACCCATAAAGCGTCCCACAGTTTCCCAGAAACAGGTGATTGGTTCATCAGAGGCTGACCCCAGCTCAGAAATGCTTTTCCCTTAATGAGTTTAATTTTGGTTTTCAATACAATCAGATATTCATAAGGCTTTTTTTACCCTTTAGTGGTCAAAATGATTCATTCAGCTTTAACTATAAACCACAGTGATGTCATGAAAACTTTAATCCAGTCTCGATGCGTACACTTCCACCTCACACAGAGTGAGATACTCGTTTCTTCCAGGTATGACAACGTTGATGTATCGACCATCCATGCCGTTGCACTGAAAGGTTTCAGTAAAACCTGGAGCGATGGTTGAGATCACAGCACACCTGTCAGAGGAAAGAAGATTTAAGATTTGAGAACATACTTAAAGATACATTAATTTAGCAAAAATTATCATGAGAAATATAATTTCTATATTTCTCATGATTCAATTGGATTCAGTGTTTTGATAAAATGGCTGTAAACTACCTGGGATTGTTATTTCCGTTGTTATCAAGTGAATCTCCAATCCGAATTTCAGCTCCATTAATTCGAGTGGGAACTTCTACCCGATTGGTTATGTTAATATTGAAGACTTTATGGGTTCTTCCCAGGTCCAGTCTCCACCAGGGGCTAAAGTCATTATTTGTAGCACTGCAGGAACTCTGGCTGAAGTGGCCTTCACGGTTCCCATCAATAGCGTAGTAGGCGATGGCTCCAGGATAAACTGTTGACTGTGAAGCTTTTCCATAAACTGCCACATTTTCTTCTGCAAAACAAAATGTTAAATGTCAGCTATGACACATAATCTTCTAATATGCTCTGGCTATGTACATATTGACAACTGCACATCCTTATTTAAAAGTTAACTTTTTTATTTGTTAAATAGCCCATTTTGTATTTGATTGATGCAAAACATATTGTTTTCATATTTGAATAAGAATTGACATATAATTTGTTATAGAAAATAAATATCTTTCTACTTTTTGTGACAGTACTCCCAGCAGGTGCTTTCCCCCCCAATTTTTGTTTTAAATTCCCAACAATTTTCAGCAGATAAGCTACATTTTAAAATACATTTTACATTCATGAACAGTGTTGACATTGAGAAAACAGTTCTTTTTTGTCCAGGCTTTATCTTATGATTGAGTTAAATATTGGCTAAGGCTGTCTGTATAAATCTCTTTAATTGTTTTCACTTTGTCTTCAAAAAGTCATAAAAACAACACAAATTAAAAGAAAATGGTTTTGTCATTTATAACCTTTAAGTAAATTTTATTTTGTAAATACCCCGATTCAGGCATCATAATAGTAAAATATGTATTTTTTTTATTGTATGTAAGTGTGAATGCAGTTTTAAATGTTGGTCAGAAGATAAAATACAACAAAGAGTTATTGGAATTTAAACTTGAGAAGTTACAAGATGAGCAATCAAGTATACCTGGGTTAACGTGGTCTAATCAATCAAGCTTGTCAGTGGTGCTCATTGATCATAAAATATGATCAAACATGTTTCGAAAGATTCTCACCAGTTGGGGCGCGGTATCCGTAGACCTCCACTTCACAGACATGTAGAACCCTGTTCACACCAGGTGCTATGATGGTCACATAACGTCCTTCAACACGCTCAGTAAAATTCATTGCATAAGAGCTTCCAGCTGCAGCAGTAGAAACGGTAGCAACCCTGGAAAAGAACAGTTGTATTGGTAACATTCATGATTTAGTAAGAGTAATCCCCACAGGGTTTGCTATGGTGCTTAAAATAACAAACCCAAATCTAATGTGAAAAATCTAATTTAGATTTTTTTGACAATTACAAACTTTATTTTAATAATCTTGGTATCGATATGAAGATTATATTTGGAAAAGTCCATCAGAAGTGAAAGGATCACAGCAGCTGATAGAGTTTCAGGGAAAATGAGGATGGAATCGGCAGAATGTTTTTGCAATATACAGACTATAAACTTTTAGAAATATCATAAATAAGGCTAAAACCTTTTGGAAACCATAGATCCACCACTGGACATCACCTGTGCAAAGATCGATGCAGCTAAGATAAACAAAAAAAAAGTTGTTAAAATCTTAGGTTGTTTGAGTTTGTTTTGGGTTTTGTCATTATTTGTGTTCCTTAGTTTCTCATCTATATTTGTTCTGCCTTGTTTTATTGTTAATTTTGTTTCTACTTAGTGATTGGAGAGTTTATTTCTTGTCTAGTTTTTCTTGCTCAGTCCAGTTTTATTTTGTTACTTTGTTTAGTTACTTGGCAGTAGATTCAGATTAATTTCCCAGTGCACAGTGTGCTCTCCCTCTGCTCTCTCCCCTCACACCCATCCCCTCATCAGCCCAGGTCTATTGTTCCTGCATTCACTCTCCCAGTATTTAATCACACCTCTTTCATAATCCATTTTTCTCCTTGTGAATTATTGACTCCCTGTGGTTTTTGTAATTTTGTTTGTTGCAGAGAGCCTCCTACGTCTCTTTGCATTTGATTCCATCAAGTGTCACCAAAACATGAACATTTACAAAGTTTAAAGGAGTTTTGCTCTAAAACTGGAGATTTCCTTTATTTAACTCACTATTTTACTCAGTCTAAATCTTTTTATTTTAATTACCCTCATCTATTTCTTTTAATCTGAAACAATTGTTACATTTCCGTCTAATCAAAGTGTGTTTTTTGGAAACACAGTGTAACACAAGAAAAATTACAACTATAAACACTTCCAGAGTGTGCTCAAATGTTTATCAGCTTGTAGCCAAGTCTGATGTTTCTTTGCATATCAAGTATGTTTCTGTTTAAGGGGAGATGCAGAAATGAAAAAAATTCAAATCTGAGCAGCATTGAGCCTCCCTTGTTTCATACTGTAGCCATGACATAATCACTCACAGTGGGTTTACAGTGCCATCTTGTCGTAAAGAGTTTCCGATGCGAACCTCCACACCACTGAGTTGCTCTGCACAGCAGTCTCCTCTGTTGGTGATGACGACCTGGGTGACTATATATGAGTCCAGCAGGTCCACTCTCCACCAGGGGTTGTTTTCAGTATCAGTGTGGGTACAAGATCCCTTTGTAAGGTCAGCATTTAGGTTTCCATCAATAGCATTGGAAGCACCTACAAATGCATTCCAAGGCTCCCCTTTGTACTGAGAAGACTGTGTAGCTTTGCCACGTAAAGCCACATTTTCTGAGAAGATCAGAGAAATTCAACGAAGAATAAATTAATCACAATATTGGTTGTTTTGCTTAAGATATTTATTCTAAATTTACACAAATACTTTCACATGCTACTTACGGTAAGTGTAAGCTGAGCAGATTGGCAGGAGGAGCAGCAAATGAAATAGTACATCGTACCTCATGATTCTGACAAAAACAGAGAAAAACTGGGATTTAGAATAGTATAACTATTTTATAACATTTTATGCTATATTATAGTAAATCGTGTCCTTTTTGTGAGAATTTTTGGTAAGAATTATTTATGAGAACTGAGAAATTACCTTGATTCTTAGGTGGGTTTGCTGTTTGAGGTGAGGGATTTGCCTTTGAGCGTTTGCTAAGTCCTTCACTCATCTATTTATATCAGGTAAAACTCACCTGTTGTCCAATCACATCTCAGAGAATTCAACTCCTACAATTCTCAGTAAGCTTCAGCTCGGAAAGTCCAGCTGTCACTGGATTCAGTTATTGACTTTGCCATCTTTGTTTAAACAGGTAATGGGTTAGTTAAACTTTAGGTAGACATAGTAAAACACAGAGTTATGCCTCCTAAATAAAAGCAGTCATTATTGCCAACAGTAAAATATTTACTAAGGTTCAGGACACTTTCAAATTCACTGTGAATCTGAATGTGGATCTTTTAAAAACACTAATCATCCTCACAACAGAAGAGTAATATGATCATTGTAAAAAAAAACCTGTTTATAAACTTTATTTTAAAAGGAACAACTTCCATTAATTCTGTTGGAACTTAAAATATTAGACATCGAAAATATAGTTGAAGATGTAAATGAAAGTAAAAAATATTGCTTTGGCTTACTGTTACTCAGTTTATAAGTTCTTACAAGCTATTGTCTGTAACAATGTTTAACCCCTTCTCTGCAAAACGGAAATATTTCAAATTTTAGATCCAACAACATTAATCAGTTGGTCAGGGGAAACATGTTACAGGAGTTTGTAAGAATTCCAGTGTTGATGAGAAATGATTAAAGTAAGACCTTAACATGATGATACCGAGTTATTTGTTAGTATAATTTATGTTTCTTTCAACTCCATTATGAAGTCAGTCTGTGTACGATTACAGATTCATGTAACCATTGTGATTTGTTAGTCTTAAAAGAAAAACATTTTTAATCTTTATACAAATAAAGCATTTATTGTTTTATTTTGTGTGGTTTACTCCTTTCTGAATTGTGTATGGGAAATAATTTCTGAAAAGTCCACCAGCTTTTTTCCTCCTTATCAATTTAAGGCCTAAATATGAAGAACTCTGCTTCTGTCAACATAATATATTCTCTACAAAGCCTCAAATATCTGGAGTGGGGAGTAGGTGAAGTGGTTGTTTTTTAGAAGTGGCTGACTAATAATAAAACATTCAATAAGATTGTTTATAGAACAAATTACAAGCCAAACAGATCATATTGTACTCATGTTGTTAGGACAATTTGAAACATGCAATACATTGTTGAAACTTACTTTACTTTTTTATTCACCTCATTATAAAATAATTTTTAAAATATCTGCAAATTAGTTCAATACACTGCAGTACTACAGTTAAAGGAGTCAATAGTTGTTTTTAAATGAGGTGCATTTAGTTGTTGAGCAACACTGAAAATCCCAAGCTGTGTTTACTTATGTTGTCCCAGATTGGCTTGGCTGTAAGAATAAGGGCAAAGTTCTGAACTCATACTAAAAGTTCAGAAATATTTTTAAAACTGAATCATTTCAACAGCACACGTCTGCAACTAAACAGAGTTCAAAAACAAATGAAAGACAAATGCTTTAAAATGCTATTTAAGAAGATACTTTGCACTGGGATCACACACACTGGGAATGTGTGGGATTTTTATTAAACTATGTTTTGCACAGCTGATCCTGTCACTCTTTAGTAATAGCCTTGTTCACCTTCAGCTTCTCTTGCTAGAATGGCACAGATTGAACCTTGAAACTCTTATGATTCTGCTGAATGAAGCTGCACTTGAGAATCAATGCTCGCTTGTGTCGCTCTCTTGTTTTCACAAGAACCTTATCTGTGTTCACAAGACAATTAGCATGAGTTTTAAATTCTAACAAAGATTTGTGTAGGCAAATACTTTACAGTGTTTAGTTACTGATTAGCCTTGTTTGACATGTCCACTTTAAACAGTCATTGCAAAAAGACAAATAACCCCATTTAAGCCCAATGTTTTCTCTAATACTGCAAGGGTGTATTACAGTAAGCTTTAAACCACAGATAAATAGCATTTTGACCATATAAGCAGGTTTTGTGAGAAAGTATAAGTGGTTGTGTCATGCACAAAGAGATATTTAAAATGAAACAGGTTTTAGATTTCAGGTCTTTTCTGTTAACACCAGTAACTGCAAAACTTACCTACACGTCCTTTTACACAGTTTTATTTTATTTTTGATCAGACTCTCCTTGTTTGCATGAATCAACAGCCCCTTCTTTTCTAAAACACTTATGAATAACTGAGTTACAGACATCCCTATAGCCATTGTTTTATGCAACAAATTGTAGAATTAAATGCCCTGATTTAAGGTTTCTTTTGCAGTTTTACGTTGCAGTTTTATTATTTTGGATCAAGCTTATATTTATACATTCTTCTTTTATGTATCCTCTAGATTGATCTCCTTTTAGCTCTTTATTTATTTTCTTGTTGACAATTTGTGATGGTGTATTACTAACAGGGCCAGCCCAAGGCATAAGCAAACTAAGCAGCAGCTTAGGGCCCCAAGGCCACTAAAGGGCCCCCTCAGTAGAGCTGATTTTTTAAAGTAATAATTTCTATGTCATAATATCAAAAACACACAATTTCACTATAAAGTGATTTGTTTTTACAATGATATATCTTTGATAATGTATGTAGAAATTATAATTTTATTGATAAAAAGAAAAAAAAATTATTGCTCTTGGGGACTCCTGGTGGTCACGGTAGGTATCGCACGCTTCGCCGGTAATATGAGCTACTGTGCTTTGAGCATCCAAACGTCCAATGCTCCGGTCAGAAGTTAAGTCAGCAAAACAATGTCTCAAAAAAGGACTTATCCTTCAGGGAGGGAGAAAAGAGGAAGAATAGAAAACAACCAAGATAAAGGTTTTTTTTTTATGTGCCCTGGCAATGTAATGTAAAATATTACTAAAGCTGCTAATAGATAATTAGCTTGATAGCGACCTGGAACGGTCCAGTTCAACATTCCAGCGTCTTTGTGTTTGTGTGAAACTGAGTTTAAACTTTAAATGAGTTGATTCTCCTGCTTGGCTCTGTATATTTCTGAGGTATTTTGGCTTCAGAACGCCGTGCTTGACACCGTTTGATAACAATAAAACTTCTCAATGTTTGACGAGCAAAATGCTTTTACGTCAGGCTACATAGCTGCTGCATCGATGAGCTACTCTATGCTGTAGTTGGGGATATGTTGTTTGCTGCTGAGCATAATCCTTTTGTGGCTAAAACAAACTTTTTTTTTTACATCAATTTATGTGAAACTTTAGTTAAAATCATTTGAAGGCACAGAATCAGTCCAGTACCGGTCCACATTCTCAGGGGAGAAAGACTCACCTGGTATAAATAACATTTTTAGCTGTTGGAGTAACGCTTAAGAGAAATTCATTTAATAAAAGAATGTGATGAATATATGTGTAGGGCTGCACCGATTGCAGTTTTCTGGCCGATCCCTGGTTGCCGATCTTTAAAAAACCAGACCTGCTAATTTTGATTTTGGTTGATATGAATTTTTTTTGTCTGAAATGTCGCTAAATATAGCAAGAAAGTCACGGTTATGGTAACAGTGGGTTGAATATTGTTAACTGTAAACGTGCAGACCTGACCTGGTTGGCTGGTCTGTCAGTCAAACCTCTCACTGCAGAGCAGAAGAGGACAGAGGCTGATCTTTAAACCTTTGAAGATAAGATTAGGGGATAATATGGGCTTCACATGTAAGTATCAGCCGATCACGACCCCCAAACTTAAGGAAATCAGCTGGTCGAAAAATCAGTTGGCCAATACATTTATCCTTTTATACATAAGGATAGTATATAATATGAACAGCACTGCCAGAGATGCAATAAGTTTATAGTAGGTGTGTGAATGATCTAATGATCATTGCAGCCAGTTCACACTGTTAGCAGAACTAGAGGGCCCCAAAACCACATTTTGCTTAGGGCCCCATGGAGTCTTGGGCTGACCGTGATTACTAAATATGTATAACTAAGTGAGAAAAATGTTACTTTTCAAACTCAAAACAATTCTTTCTTTTTCTAGAAAATTTCTGAGATTAATCTAAAACTGTCTGCCTTTTTGGTGGAAATTTACTCCTTTTTTCAACGTCGGCCCTAATATGTTGTCATAACAGAATGTAAACATGTGATCTTCTCTGTAATTTTCATATGGTTTTCCATACATAAAAAGATAAGGACAGTCATGACTACCAAAGCAGCCTCCACACACGTTAAGCACACTCTGTACTGCTAAAGTAACAAACAGTAGCCATTATTTGTCTTGAACACTGGACTCAGAAAAATTAAGGTAAGAAGCTTTCTAATTCTCAATATTTATCATAAATTTTTCATCAGTTAAGACAATAAACAATTCTGATGCACATTTGTAGTTGTATTTATTTCAAAATAAATACAATAAACAACAGTGGTCTAGTTTGTAGACCACTGCTGAGAAATTATGTGAAGTCTTCCTATAAATTAATCAATTTTCTCTCTTCCTATTCACTTTATTACAGCCATGGGAAATGTCGTATGTCTTATAATACTTGCAGGTTAGTCTTATACATCTGTGCTAAGTGTCTAACTGACACAAAAGAATCATAATCGTCTCGGACAAGAACATTTCCGACTAATCCTTGTTGCTTTTTACACTTCTAATTTTTCATCTACAGGACTGAGTTCTTTCTGTCTCTGTGTGCATCAGCATCAATATGTCTTATTTCAAACTCCAAAAACCTGGACTGATGCACAGAGTTACTGCAGGGAAACATGCATTGACCTGGCCACAATCGAAGACATGAATGAGATGGAAATGGCTCTTCAAAGTGTTGGAAGCGACTACAGTGATGCCGTATGGATTGGGTTGCACAGAGGAAAGGAGCTAAAGTGGCATTGGTCTCTGGCAGACAAATACTTCTACGAGGATGGAGAAAGAAATTATATAAAATGGAGAATGCCTTTAAGTGGTGATAACTGTGCTACTTTCAGTAATGGAAAACTTTCTACACTCTCCTGTCTTGAAGATAGACATTCAGTCTGCTTTGATAGTGAGTATTTCTTTTGCATTTTGATCCTAATAACATGTAACGAAAACCACACATGCATGAGTTCTCCATATAAAAAAACCAAATGAGCCTATTATGAATGCCAGCATCTTGGAGTTGATATTATTTGTAAATTTTGAACACAATTACATTTTGAGTTGAGAAAATTTGTTTAAGTTTACACTGATATGCTTTATTATCCCAAAGGCTAAAAGTGTCATTGCTTGATTTAGTTCCAATAACTTTGGATTACTATTTGCAAATAAGAATGTTTTCATTTTATGTGAATAAACATGTTTTTCTACAGATGTTGTACAGTATCTTCTGATACACTGCCTTAATGTGATGTAAACCAAAAAAAAAAAAAAAAAAAAAATGTTTATTTCTGAAAGTTTGAAATTCCTTCTATCAGCACAGCCGCCACATTGGATATCATCTCACCTATTGTTTTTATTGTAAT